GGGGAGGGGTGTGTGGCTGGCGTCTGCGGGGAGAGGCCAGGGGGGCTGCTGCAGCCCATCCGAGGCGGGACAGCCCCCACAGCAGAGAGTCATCCAGCCCACAGGACTGTTTGCTTCGTGGGCCAGTCACTGTCATTATCTGTTCTGTGGAGAAGGAGACCAAGGCTGGAGGGGAGGGTTCTGAAGCCCGCCCCCATGTGGTACGTGGGGGTTGTGACAGCCCCCGCGAGGATTATGGTAACAAACCAACAGCTCGTTCATTCAGTGCACTGACGATTTTACGATTTTACCTCTGCTCTGGGTAAGTGCTGGGATCCCATCGGCATGTGGGGCACACAGCAGGCATCTGATAAATGCTGCTGATCACAACAGAGGTACAGAATAGTTGTGGAGCACTCAGGACCTATGGTGGCCGTTATCCATCGGGCTCTGATGACACCATGTGTCTTCCCCATGTTTGCCTTGGGAGGCAGCGAGGTCTTCTGATGCGGCTGTGGGCTCCTGTTTTCTGCTCCCCGCCCGCAAGTTCTAGGTCTCTGCGCAGAGCCGGGCTGCCCCCGGGGGGTCGCCGACCCGCTGGGGTCCATGGCCTGGGCAGCACGCCAGCACGGCCCATCTGGGGAACAGATGTGCTGTTTGCAAACCTCCACCCAGAGGCCGCAAGGTGGGATGGAGGGGGCCCAGTTCCGGGGACATGGTCCTGCTTACACGCCTAGTGGGTCTGGCAATATTCAGGACCTCCTTATGCTAAAATGTGATTCCTTGTTTACCTGAAATTCAAATGTAACTGGGTATCCTCTGTCTTATCTCAGGGCTATTTCCTGGACCACCCTCCCCTCCTCACCTCCCTTCCCTGCTTTATTATTTCATGTAAACTTTTCGTGAAGGCGTGAAAAAAAGGGCACAAATCTTAACTGACCGGATGCGTGAGACTTCACAAAGTACACACCCCAGGTAACCAGCGCCCAGAGCCAGAGATGGACGGCCCCACCGCCCCCCACCCACAGCTAACCACTGTCAGTATTCCCAGCCCCATGCATTGACTTTCCTGCTTTGGGGGCATCTATGTGTGGAAGCACACAGTATGCTCTCATGGCCTGTTCGGAGCTGCGTCCCTGTGGCTGGGTGCCTCATCTGTTCTCAGCGATCTAGAATATTCTATCATGATACAGCACCTTTGTATCCCCATCCCCTGTTGATGGGCATTTCTAGTCTGAGGGTCTTATAAATAGAGCTGCGAAGAATATTCTGGCACAAACCTGCTTTAAATTTTGCCCTCACACTTGACAGACATCACCAGTTACTGGAAGGGCACAGGGTATGTTCTGTATGACCATCTCCCCCTGCCCGGCACGAGTGCCCTGGCCCTCCGGCTCTCTCTGGCAGCCCAGCCCCCAGCACATCGCCCGCACAAAGCCGGTGCTTAGTATGCATTTGGGGGATGAAAGAACATGAAATCCCTCTTCCTGGAGCATTCAGTTCAGGGCATCTCAGAGACAATGCCCGTCAAGGATTAGCTTTGGGGCACAGCACTTGGATTTGCATGCGTTTTGACTGAGGACCCAGGCAACTGCCATGCAAATGTTTAGGGAAATGTCTTCCTTGGGCCCCGCGAGAGGACCAGACTGAGTGGATGTGGGGCAGGGAACTGCCTTCCTCCCCGCGGCCGCCCGCCTGCCGGGCCCCACCTGCGCGGGGTGTCGTGTCTATAGCCACCGAGGCCTGCCTGCCCTCCCTCCACCCTGGCAGTCACCAGTGGGAACACTCCTGGGCTTCTGAATGCCTCCAGCCCCCCCGCCCCGCCCCCGAGTCCATGCAGTGCTGGGTGATAAAGGATAATAAAGGGTTCCAGTCCCGGCACCACCCTGGCACTTGGCCCCTCAGACCTGTGCCACCAGAGTCCTGTAAAAATAGCCTGCCTGTGGCTATTTTGGGTCATGGGAAGGCCTCGGGGAGACTCCATGTTCTGAGGAGGACCAAGAGGGACCCCAGAGCAGCCAGCTGAGAAGGGAGATGGAGGTCCACAGGCAAAGCTAGCGCAAATGGCGTTTTCTAAAAATTACAAAATAGCGGCCCGTGTGTAAGAATAATGGGGAAAAAAAAAAAGAAGAATGGGCAATGTTCACATGAAAAGGCAGTCAGCCTCTCTCTGCCGCCCATCCTGGTTGCCTGCCCGGCCTGGAAGGTATTTGACTCGTGGCCCTGGGAGGGCTCGATCCCGTGGGGGCCTGGTTGTGGGGGGCGGGGACTTCCGTAGCAGGAACGCGGTCACACGGTAGCTGGGTAGTGGAGGGCAGCGGGGCTCTGGTGGGTAAAATAGCGAGGTCCCTTCTGAAGGCCCAGCTGGGAGTTCTTTCTTCCGTTTATATACCTCTCCCTTCAGATGGACTCTGTCTCTTTCTCCGTGAAACTAACATTAGAATGTTTTGGGGAAACATGTTCAGAGAAAACATATTCAGTCTGGTCTCTTCTCCCCACCCGCCCCATCCGTGCTTTATTTTCCCCGGCACCATGACCCCCACCCACCCTGCCCGGCAAGCCTCTTGCTTCTTTCTTTGGAGTCCGTTCCTACCATCAGACTGTATCTGTCCCTAGCACTTAGAATACAGCCCTGCACGCAGTAGGAGCTCCATAAATGTTTGCCGACGCAATCAACCCACTTCATAAATGGTGGGCTTCTTTCTCATTACTAATGCCGAAAGCACACTCTGATCTTGCGTCTGGGACTTCGAGATGTCAGCGTCTCCCCAAAGTGCGCAAGGAGAGAGCAGCCCGGGGTTTCCCATCCCGGAATGAGGAGCAGAAAGGACCTGTAATCACCGGGGAAGCAGCCAGAACGGGCCTCCAGGGGTGTCAGGGGCCCGTGCTCAGGCTCTAACATCCGGGGGTCTGTGATTAGGACAGAAGGGAGCTACGGAGTCCGGGATCTGCTCCTCGTTCGTCTGAGGAGCCCACACCAGTCACTGTGAAGGGCTGCCCGAGGGTTGGAAGCTTCCAGAAGCTTCCCGCCAGCCTTCAGATATCTGCGGCAGGAAGTGGACGCTCAGGCAGTGAAGGCTCATTGTTAGAGCCACAGGCATTTCATGAATGGTTTCGCAAGGCTCACATTTGCCCTCTTTTTCTTTCTGACAGGGACGGCTGGGGAGGAAGGTCTGCCCGGCAGCCACACTGAGGAACGCTCGAGGTTGCCTGAGCTCCGACGGCCAGTGGAGGTCTGAAAATGCCCTGGTTTTCTGCCCCGGCTGCGGGCTGGGGTCCCTGGGGAGCTGGAGCAATACTCCGCCGGGCCCCACCCCAGAGGTTCTGGTGTGATTGATCTGGATACCAAGAGTTTTAAAAGTTCCCTCGGGAATTCTAATGCACATCCAGACTTGAGAGTCAGCGTGTTAATGCATCTTTGCCTGTAGGGGTAGTATGAACTACCCTTTACTGGGCGCCTTCTGCATACTAGATGATTTCTTGTTTTGTTTTATTTTGTGTGTGTTGTTGTGTTTTGCAAATGTTACGAACTGCACTCCCTGCGGGGGTCTGATGGAAGCAGCAGACCGGCGACAGGTGCTAGGGAATGGTGGGGCCTGCGGGTAACTGTGGCTCAGTGCAGTCCACGTCATCGTCCTGGGGAGCAGACCCAGGCTGTGGGATCTTCTGTTAGGTCAAGAGAAATAGGAACTGTGAATTTTCACGTGAAAGGAGCCAGTTTAACAACATCAGCAACTGATTCCGATGAAAGAAGGTGGGCAGGACCAGTCCTGCCCAGGGGTTGGACGGAGCCCGGCGGGAGGGCCAGTGTCGGAGTTAAAAAGGTAAAACGGGCCTTTCCTGGCTTTGAAGACGGGAGGAGAGGCAATCCATCACGGGGTTCGGCCGGCCTCTAGATGCTAGGAAGGGCAAGAAAACAGATTTTTCCTCAGAGCCTCCAGGAGGCACACACCCCGGCCGACACCTTGACTTTCAGCTCAGTGAGACCCATTCCAGATGTCCGAACTCCAGAACCGTAAGAGGACAATTGTGTGTTGTGTTGTGTGAAGACGCTGACATTGTGGTCCTTTGTTACAGCAGCTGTCGGAAACCTTTACGGTCGCCGAGCTAAGTAAGTGATGGTGCTGCGCTCTGAATGCAGGCAGCCTGACTCTGTGGCAGCAGAAAACATGGACTCACAGCCTGGATTTTCTGGGACAACCCTGATTTCAGTATTCGTCTCTGCATAAGAGCTAGGGACAACACAGCTCCGTGCCTATATGACAAGAAGGAACTTCCTTATTGAATTTATTTTTCCTCAGTAGCTGTCAAACTCCCACGTGGCAAGGACCTTCGTAACCTCTAACATCCTTTCTCCCCATAGTAACGGACCCCTGACTGTGAGCAGGGGCTGCCCAGAATATACCCGACACTTCCCAGCCTCCCTGGGGTTAGGTATGGTCATGTGACTGGCATAGGCCAATGGGAAGCACTCTTTGAGGCAAGGGGTGCACCAGGCTGAGCTATCCTGGACCTTGCAGACAGGGCATCACCTTAGAAAAGGGACCCAACAGGCTCCTCCCCAGGGTGGGTATTTAGAAGGGTCAGCAATAGGCATGGAGGGCATGCGAGGTCTTTACTAAAAAGCTGTCTGTGAAATAATCATGTTTTGCTCTCCCAGAAAACCTGCTAATTGAATTTCCCCTCCTTTATTGGTTAACTTAGTTTTGGCTAGAGAGGCTTCACCAAGGTTTTGGAGTCTCCGCCTTTTCCAACTTGTGACTCTGCCATCCTCATGCTCTAAAATTGTTGCTTGAGCTCCAGCCATCCAATCTCCTTTCCAAGCTGGGGGTGGGGAGGAGAAAGGAACAGAGAAGGGTATCCTCTGCTCCTTTTTTTTTTTTTTAAGATTTTATTTATTTATTGACAGAGAGAGAGAGAGAGAGAGACAGCGAGAGAGGGAACACAAGCGGGGGAACGGGAGAGGGAGAAGCAGGCTCCCCGCCGAGCAGGGAGCCCAACATGGGGCTCGATCCCAGGACCCCGGGATCATGACCTGAGCCGAAGGTAGATGCCCAACGACTGAGCCACCCAGGCGCCCCTCCTCTGCTCCTTTTAAGAACATTTTCCACACTGCTGTGTCCCATGGCCACACCTCACGGCAAGGAAAAAGTGTCTTTATCCTGGGTGGTCCTGCGACCAGCTAAAATTATAACTGAGGTGAGGGAGGAACACAGATACTGGGGACACCCCACACTTTCTGCTATGTTCTGCCAAATCAGATCTGTTCAGAAGGACCGTCTGACAACAGGTGGGAGCTTGATATAACCGTGTTGTTCCATTTAAGTTGATTGGCTGTGTGGCCTTAGATGAGCTGCTTGACCCTTCTGGGCCTCTTTTGCTCACCTTCAAGATAATTAAAGTGGAATAACATGGTCTTTAGTGTGTCTTTCGGCAGAATCCTGTTCCACAAGTCTGACAATCGTCCCCTTTTTAGGCACAGAGGACATCGTGATAGTCAAAGAAAATGGGCGCACGGCATGCGTGGTGCGTCTTTGGTGTCCGGCTCACCCGGTCTCCTGTCCTGAGGGGCCGGGGGAAGCCACCTTCCTGGCTCCCGTCCTCCTGGCCAAACGCAGATGCAGGTTTTGGACCAAATGACTACAAGGTACCCAGCACACCTTGCATCAGTGCCCCTTCCACCGGCCGATCAACATTTTAACCCAAATAAAATAAGAACGGGGTCTGTTTCGTCCTGCTGCTGTAACAAATGACCATCCACTTAGCGGCTCAAACAGCCCCGATTTCTCCTCTTACAGATCTGGAGGTCACAAGTCCCACAGGGGCCTCAAGGGGCTGCGTTCCTTCTGGAGGCTCCCGGGGGAGAGTCTGTTTCCTGCTCCTCAGGTCGTCAGCAGAATCCAGCGTCCTGTGGCTGGAGGCCTGACATCTTTGGAAGGCAGCTGTCTGCTTCCCGCGGGAACGAAGTCCTGGGTGTCCGTGAGGTCACGAACGGATTTGTTGCCAGAAACTGAATTGTCGTTTAGCAATTAGGCCCCTGGTTGTGTTCGGCCTGCATGTAGCCAGGCAGGTGGAGGTCAGGTGTGAGCAGGGGGGCCGGGAGGCCCCGGCCAAGCCCCAGGCCACTGGGTCATTTTCCTCGCCACTTCTGAGCTGTCCTGGACGGGTCTTTGTTATTCCGGCCTCGGGGGTTCCCCGCCTCCCTGGCTAGCTCCTGCCCGAACGAACGCACAGCTCGCCAAGGCCAGCTCACTCTTTCTGGAACACACTTCCCCATCCCACGATACCTCCTAAAATGTGCCCAAGGCAGAGAACCTCTCTTGTCTCCACCCTCCGCCCGGCTTTCGCAGAGGACAGATCCGCCGCATCTGCGGTTAAGGACCAAGTTGCCAAGGGTGGTCGTTTCGTTGAGGCCTAGATGGTGGGGTGCCCACATCAGCCCCCAGCTCTGGCAGTGGCTGGGGAGGCAGGCCAGGGGGGCTCGGGCACCCGGGCTTCCGAGTCACACTGCCCGGGTTCAAATCCTGACTCCATGTGAGAGCTAGGGAGCCTGGAGCATGCTTCTTGACTTCTCTGTGCCTTGCTCTCCTCTCTTGTAAAAGGTGAATAATGATGGCATTTCCCTCAAGGGATGGTTGATTGAATGAGATAATCAGCGCCAACGGCTCGTGCCGGGGAGAGCCTGGAACTTTCGCCATGGGTTGGTAATCCCACGGTTATTACTGTCATGGGGTCAGCACATGCTCCGCACTCGCACTGCAGCTGTGGGCCCGGTGGGCGTCCCGGATCAGCCGAGGCTCTGTGTGGGCATCATGTGGGCAGGGGACAGGGGGCTTGGCGGGGACAAGGAGCTGGCACGGGTTTCTCCCAGGCTTGTACTCCCTCTAAAGAAAAGTTCAAAAAGCAGCAACTTCAACTCTCTTTACTTGGGATTCTGTTTCTCTTTTACAGGCCGTGTGAGATGGCTTTGACCTTGGATCTCGCCCCGCTCAGCGCCAGGGGTGTCTAGGCACAGCTCTGGCCAAAGGCTTTTTCTAAAGGGCAGATGCCGTTCAGGGCTAACCCATGTGATCCTCAAAGCCCCTTGCAGAAAAGGTGGGATTACCCTCAGTCTATATAGATAGTAATAATGGTAGGAGATGCTGCTTAGCACTTCCTAGGTACCAGGGTCTGTGCCAAGCACGATCAAGAATCCAAGAGGTGGCCTGTCTTACAGAGCGAGAACTGGCTTGGCATCCCTTACAAATGGGAGGAGGTAGCAGGAATCCAAGGCCAGGCTGGTCTTACTCAGCCTGCGCTCTTTCTTCTGTCGCCTGATTAAACAATAATTCCAGATTTTTAATTTCCCCCAAAGCACCGTCTTCCTCCTTGACACCATGCTGAGCACATTTGGACGTGGGGAGAGAAGGGGAAAAAGTCACCGCCTCCTAGTTGAGGCTTGGTTACTCTGATAGATGTCCTTGCAGAGCCATATCACCCCGCAAAGAGAAACGTCGATTGTAAAAGATGAATGTTGTGCCCGTCTAGATCAGATTTAGAAAGCCCCACGCGGGGAGTTGTGCTACTTACAAATATTGCTCATTATTAGGTTGCTTTTACCATTTGGTAAGGAATTTAAATCCCCCATAATTTAAATTTATTAATTTAAAAGAATGGCCTTGGCTTTCCACTTCTTTCTAAATAAAGTCTCAGGGAGAGAAAAGGGACAGGTGGACATTACAGATGAATTTTGTTGTATATTTGTAAAATTCCAAGGTGTGTGCAAATGAGAACAAACACGGGGGTGCGGATATTAGCTTAAACTTGCCGCGAGTGTGCCACTTCTTAACTCACTTTGAAAAATCCAATACGTCAAAAAAAAAAAAAAATCTTTACCATGCTGCTAGAGTAAATGGAAAACACTATTGCTTGCCAGAAGCAATCATCATCATTGTTTTTATTAGTGGGGACACTGTGAGCATTCACCCCGTGGCAGGAACTGCCAGAATGCTTTGTAGACTGTGTGACAGGTTCCTCCTCGTGGATGTTACTCTAGGAGACTGGCTCCATTATTCCCATTTGACAGATGAAGAAACTGAGGTCCAGTCCTCTTAGTACATTAACGATAGGAGTGTCAATGAAGACAGGAAACCTACTTCGATCCATCTTTTTAATGCACCTGAATTGCCCAGTTCCCCTCTCCCCGCCCCTTACTCCACTCACCTATCTCCTATCAACCTTTCTTTTATTTTTAAAGATTTTATTTATTTATGTGAGAGAGAGAGAGAATGAGAGATAGAGAGCACGAGAGGGAAGAGGGTCAGAGGGAGAAGCAGACTCCCTGCTGAGCACGGAGCCCGACGTGGGACTCGATCTCGGGACTCCGGGACCATGACCTGAGCTGAAGGCAGTCGCCCAACCAACTGAGCCCCCCGGGCGCCCTCCTATCATCCTTAAAAGTTGAGAAACTTTGCCCAGTGTCACCCCTCCGCCCCCAGCCTAGGCTGGAGGAGGCCCTCTCCCCTCCCACCTCTGGAGCTCGGAGGCACCCACCACAGGCCTGTCCATATGCACCCTTCTCCTTCAGCAGGCGGGCTCCTCCGGGGCAGGGACAGAGTCCCCCCACTCCCCCTCCCCAGCCAGGGCACACGGTGGGGGCTCAGCGAACACTCGTTGAGTAGATGAGTGGAGCAAGTGAATGAGGAAAGCAAGTCAGAACCTGGGTCCAGCATAGCTGAGGTGCCCCGGGTGCTTGAGGTGGTCCTTGCCTTTGGTTTCAGTGATGATGTGTCTCTTTTTAGGGCCGCTGCTCTGAGCCTCTACAAAATGGGACAACAGAGGAAGGGAGCCACACTATTGCAACTCACTAAGTGAGTTAATACTGTGGCATCTGGAGCCGTTCCTGGCTCAGAACAAACGCTCAAAAAGGTCAATACGTTATTTATTATCATGCTATATATTGTCTATCCACATATAGTCACCATTTATGACAGGTGATGTTGGTTTTCCATTTACGGTCGTGTTGTGAGGTTTTAGTTGAAAATAAACGTACTTGATTATTAAAAATGAGTTGAAAATGAGTAAATATCAGTGAAGTGGTACCCAGGAGGTCTGGTCCAGTTCCTGCAGTGGTATTGAACGACGGGGTAACAGGACCCCAGGGGAAAGGAACTCAGTGTGGGGCAGCTTTTGTAATCGCAGGCTGGTTGCCTGGAGTCCAGGGCCACGTGGCCATCCTTGTGGCCTGGGGCACCAAGTGGGCGTGGAGAGGCCAAGGGTCATAGGAGGAGCCTGCACAAACCTGTCCCGAATCCTGGGTGTGCTGCCACCCAGGGCAGCCTCCACCCCAGACCAGGGCTGGTATTTTTAGTGCACCGGCACCCTGCACAGCCTCCTACACTCTGACCAAATTTAGAAATCTCAAGAGGTCTTTGCACTTCCACGCCCTCAGTAGGCGCAATGAATGAAAAGGCCTCCAGCTCTCAGCCTAGCTAGAGCCAACCCTAACGTTTGCAGGGCTCTCTCTCTGGACGGGTCGGAAGCCCAGGATTTATCCACCAGTGAGAGAAAGCATGCTGCAGAATCATGTGTGCGGTCTGGGACTACCGCCGCGAAAGCACAACAAAATCCGCCATGTGAAAGCGTGTCTGGGCTGCGGAGCCAGGAGAGGGGTGTGGGAGGGACCCCCTCTGCACAGACTGCCAACAACGGGAATGGGGGTGGGGTGGGGGAGGGGGTGGCGCTGGAGAAACTGTGTGTGCTCTTATCAGCGGTTTATATTAACCATTTCCTTTGTTAAAACAAGTATGTGTTACTTCTGAAATTTGAAAACCCTGAGCACCAAAGGTCTAAAAACATCCCAAGACTGAAAAGGGCATCAACCTGAACGCTTCTAAGGAATCTCAGTGAACCCAGGGCTTCCAAGACTTCCAGTGGTAGACCCTCACACCCTGACAACCACACATCCATCCCTAATCGCCCAGATGTTCCCCGGAGGCTCCCGCTCAGGGCTCTGGTCCCCTGGTTCTAACTTCACCGCCAGCCCCAGGGAGGGGCGTGGCCATGGCTGGCCAATCAGAGCACTGCATGTCTCTGGCTCTTCAGGGCTGGGGCTGGCCCCTAGCAGGGAGATAACTGGAAACAGAAAACCCAAAACCCTTTGCTGAAGAGTTACTGTGGAAGCTCCTGCCCTACGAACCAATTCATTCCCTGTTGGCGGAGCTTGTCTGAGACTTGTCTGAGTCAGGATTGGGTCTCTGTGAACAAAGGTCTGATGGCTCAATGACCAGGAATGTTGATATAGGGGGTTAAACAGGGCCAATATTAAAATTAAATGATATAAGTTTATAATTAAATGAATTATATTAAAACCAAAGGTAGTAAATACCCAGAACGTATCACCCCCGGCTTAATTCACTACACTTTACTTTCTATGCCCTTGGGGTGATTTACCTCCTCCTGTTTCTCTACAGTGGAAACGCCCTATGATGGTGTGTGCCTGGGGGTCTCTTCCCAACTCCACACCCATGGAGTCACACTGGTAGCTTGGAACCTGTCATGGAGGGGGTACTTACACCATGGGATCTGGCAAATGCCATCAATAGGGTTCTCCCACCCAAAGCCCTTGTTAAACACTTACCAGCAGAAAGGAGGCCAGGTAACACATGCAGGGATTCGTCTGTTCTTCAGGAACCCCAAGTAATAGGAAGGAGAGTGTGTAAGCATCTTCAGGGCAAGAACCATGCTTTGTCTCATGTGGTTTTCCCGGCATCTAGCTGAGACATTCAATTTATGTGTGTTGATTGACTTACAGAAATGAGGATCCAAGAAGTCAAAGGCTTTGCCCAAGGTCACCTGGGGTGGGGTAAGGACCTGAGCACAGTTACTCCAGATCGTGAGCCCCACCTTGGGATCAGTTCTTTCTTTGTGCAGTGCTCTCTGACACCCTGCTGACTGAAAGGCCCTGCGGGAGGCTGGGCCAAAATGCTCTGTGGTCAGCAATGAAGGAGAGTCTGCTCCTTCCAGCAGCCCTGATGTTCAAGGCCTCTGTTTTGAGCACTCATTCCTTGGCAGCTTGCAACGTTGCAAGGTGATTTTAGCAAGTGCATGGGCATAGCATTTAATAACATGGAATCCCAAGTTGAGGGGGGCATGGCTTTTCCAAAATACATGCAGCAAAAACCAAAAGGACAAATAGACAAATCCACAGTTATAGTTGAAGACCTCAGCATTCTCCTCTCTAAGCTGTTGAAAGAACAAAAAGACAGAAAATCAGTAGGGATATAAAAGCCCTGGACAACCCGATCAACTTGACCTAACTGGCATTTTAGAACATTCCACCCAACAGCAGAATACACATTTTTCTCAAGTGCACATTGAACATTCACCAAAGTAGACCTTCCTCTGGACAATAAAACAAATCCTAACAGACTGAAGAGAAATGACATCAGACAAAGTGTTCTCTGATCATAATGTAATAAATTTGGAAATCACTAACGGAAAGGTATCTGGGAAATTCCCAAAGATTTGAAAGTTAAACATACTTCTAAATAACCCATGGATCCAAGTGGTAATCTCAAGGGAAAGTAGAAAATATTTTGAACTGACTAAAAATAAAAACACAACATATCAAGGTTTATAAAATGCAAATAAAGCAGTACCGAGAGGGAATTTTATAACATCAAGTGCTTACGTTAGAAAACAAAAAATGGTTTCAAGTGAATTACCCAAGCTCCTACTTTAAGAAACCAGAAAAAAAGTGGCAAATGTAATCGGAAAGAGTGAAGTGATAAAGATAAGAACAGAAATCAACGGACTTAAAATTAAGAAAACGAGAAAGAAAATTAATGAAACAAAAAAGCTGGGTCTTTGGAAAGATGAACAAAATTGATAAACCTCCAGCTAGACTGACCATGGCAGAAAAGGAGAAGACAGAATTAACAGTGTTAGGAAGGAAGGAAGGAATTGCTATAGACTCTCCAAACATAACAAAGATAATAAAGGAATATCACAAACAACTTTATTCCCTAGAATTTGCAGCTGAGATGAAATGAGCAGATGCCTGAAAGACATGAACTACCAAAGCTGGCTCCGGCAAGAAGACTCAGCCATAAAAAAGAATGACATTTTGCCATTGGCAACAGCATGGATGGATCTAGAGAGTGTCATGCTAGGCGAAATAAGTCAGAGAAAGAGAAATACCATGTGATTTTACTCATATGTGGGATTTAAGAAACAAAACAAATGAGCAAAGCAAAAAAGAGACAAACCAAAACACCAGACTCTTAAATAATTACATAGAACAAACTGGTGGTTGCCAGAGGGGAGGTGGGTGGGGAGATGGGTAGGAAAAAAGAAAAGAAAGAATAGATAACCGGAATAATCTGGTTATCAAATAGTTATCAAAGAAATGAAATTCACGGTTACAACTTTCTAATAAAGAAAACTCCAGGTCAGGTGATTTCACTGGTAAATACTACCAATCAAGGAGGAAATAATCTTAATTCTACAAACTCTTCTAGAAAACAGGAAAGGAGGAAACACTTCCTAATTCATTTTATGAGGCTAGCATTATCCTAATACCAAAGATATTACAAGAAAACTATAGACCAATATTGCTTGTGCACATGAATGAAGAAAATGCTCAACAAAATATTACCAAATCAACTTTGGCAAAATATAAAAAGGATAATAGATCATGACCAAGTGAGGTTTATCCTGAAATGCAGGGCAGGTTCAACATCGGAAAATCAGCCAATGTAATCCATCATATCAGCAGATATAGAAAAAGCATATAATCATCTTAATTGATGCAGAAAAAGCACTTGACAAAATTCAACACTCTTTCATGATGAATTCTCAGCAAACTGGTAACGGAAAGAGATAAAGGGCTTTTACAAAAACCTTATAGCTAACATCATACTTACTGGCAAAACACTCAATGTAATTCCCCTAAATTGGGAGGAAGGCAAAGCTGTCTATTCTCACCACTCTTATTCAGCGTCATACTGGAGGTCCTAGACACTGTAATATGGCAGGAAAATAAAAACAGAGACAGATTAGAGAGGGAGAAATAAAATTGTCTCTATTTGCAGATGGCATGATTATCTATACACAAAACATAAGGGAATCTACAAACTACCAGAACTGATCATAAGTGAGTTTAGCAAGTTTGCAGGATACAAGGTCAATATACAAAACTCAACTGCATGTTTCTATACTAACAATGAACAATTAAGAAACCAAAATTTCAGAAATAGTACAATTTACAATAGTACCAAAAATCAAAACAAACCAAAAACCATG